TTACAGCTACGAATGAGAGACTTCAAGAGTGCTTCCCTTCATGCACTTTTCTTGAAGAACTTTTTTCGTTTCAGGACATAGATAGCTATTTTATTTTGTTGCCATCTGGTGGTGAGTATTCATCCTTCCATAATTTGCATGCGAATGTGATCTATCATATCACAAATAGGAAGTGTTCTCGCCACATGAATCCAACTGTTAAAAGATTCTACAACAATGAAAGTAATATGACCATATCTATAAATAAATATCATATGTATCAAATAGAAATTCACAATTATAAAGTATAGCAATGTGTCACATATAACAGATAAATGTCATAAGGTACAAAATATTGTCACGAAAGACAAATAAAAGTCACACGGTAGTAGCGTAATGCCACGTTCAACTAGTAAAGGTCACACATAACTGACAAAGGTTGCATATAAAAACATAATATCACATATAAGTTCTATATGTGATATATGAGTGCAAGGTATCACAAAACAGCGCCAAGAGTCACATATAAAGTTTAAAGGTCATATTTAAATTGGTAGTGTCACAATATTTGACATACCTTATACCAGGAAATATAAAATTTGCCCAATTATTTGGAACATAACTGAGAGCTACTTGGTAAGCTCTTTGACCTATCATCATAATCTCATGTATTACTTGGTAAGCTCTTTGACCTATCATCATAATCTCATGTAAAACAACTATAACTTGTTTTTCCATACACTTGTATGCAGCAAACTCTAATAATTTGAAATTCGTTGAGTAGCACTTGAGGCAAAACCCATCTCTCTAAGCTTCAATTTATAATTCTCAACAAGATGAAGTACACATCTGGAATGGTGCACATTTGGAAATATATCTTTCAAAGATTATTTTATTCCTTTGTCAATATCTGACAAAATGACTAGAGGATGGGGTGGATTATATAGTTCTGTTCAATTGTCCAAAATATACTGCAACTCTTGAATAAACCAACTCCAATTCACTTTATTTTCTTGGTCACAAACGTAAAATAAGAGTGGAAATATGCCTTGATTACCATCATAAACAGTCACACCTTGTAAGATCTCTTTGTATCAATCCTTCAGAAAGGTCCCATCTAGAAAGAGAAATGGCATACATCCCTTGAGAGACCCCTGTATGCATGCACTATAGGACACAAATAAGTGCTTGAATCGCCTTTCTTCTTGTTCAATGATGAGGATATTGCCTGGGTTTGTTTCCATCACCTTCATTTGGTACATTTAAATGATGATTAAAAGGACAAATAATTTGTTAAATGATGAATAAGTTCTAACGCTTACATGTGAGACGTGAATGTCATATATAAGGTCTAGGTGTCACATTTAAGACCCAAATGTCACATATGAGATCAGAATGCCACATTTATGGTTGAATCCTCACATTTACGACTTAAATGTCACATATGACATCTAAATATCACATAATATACTTATACATCACATAGCGTTCTGAAATGTCACATTTAAGGTTAATGAATCACATTTAATTTTAACAAATTAATGGACTAACCAAGGTAATACACCATATGAATGCCTTGTGCAACCAAATATTTGGTCTTTCGCTGTCTCCTTAGCATGCCAAGCTTTAGAATAATTAACTTTTAAATCATGTTGAGAGATTAATTCCTTTCTAATGTCAGTTGACATGAGATATGGATGCCTCTTCATAATTGATTGTAACATACTCGCAATCTACCTTCTTAAATGCTCTAGAGTGACTAGTTGTGCTGTTATGTTGTTCACAAGTATGTTGAGGAACCATTTTTTTAGCAAAGGTTGACACATGGCTCACTGGTTAAGTGTAAAGCACCAACGGGCATTTTGTTTCTTTTTTGAACATGCAATTAGCATGAATGCAATTTGGCTCATTGTTAACATATTTAAAAGAGAATTCTTAGCTATATAGTAGTATATAAGAGCCATTCTAACATTTTTTGCACTTTCAAATTGTTGTCATTTTCTAGTAATTGCCTCATGCCACCATGTCGGGATTCCTGTCGAGTCACTTACTATGTCATCCATCATCCACACATGACCTCCTTGAGGATTGTCATTTAGGATCCTCTATGATTCTTGGATATGCTCCAATGATGGTGAGTTTATAGTAGGAAGACTGCAAGTTGAATATAACATATATATAAGTCACGTGTGACAATTACAAGTAACTGTTAATTTATATATGTCACAAATAAAGTCTATATGTCACGTGCAATGTCTATAGGTCACATATAAGATGTAAGTATCACAGTTCCGATTATAACGTGTATACAAAACCTGTAAATAATCTTTTAAATACTTACTTAAACTATATTTTTGTCCCTATGGTATGCGTGGATCATTCATCTCTTTTAGTAACAGTCATGGTTATCATATTTATCTCCATTGAACGGTGATAATCTATCATGTTGAGAATATCTTTATCTTTTAGAAGCTCAAATGAGACATTGTGAAACTTCTCGAGAGTGTAACTTATCAACAAACTTTTATAACGTACTTTTAAATTCTCTACAATGTGCATATTCAATTCAGCTAAATTTGTTGCAGAATTGACTTTAATGAGGGTTGCATTGGTGTTCAGTGAAATTACGCATATTAGATATTCTTTCAATTTGGTTATTGGAGAAGTTAAGAGGAAAAAGTTAAAGAGCATTTTGGTTGTTGAAAGTTGTTGAGTAGAATCTAAAGATGGAAGAAGATATTACCTTGACACGAAACATTATTTGGAGGGAATTTAGTACATTTCCCTCCAATATTTCCTTTCCCTCCAAAAATTCTCTCCAAGCCATTAATGTCATTCTTCTCTCATCTCTTCAACCCATTATATGTAGCTTCAACTGTACAATGTAATGAGGGACTGCCTAATGAGACAAAATTAATCTTTTTTGACACTCCACGAAAGGGTACAAAATGGTAAACTGGGCATTACTTCAAAATACAATATGGGGACATTATACATTGTTGGGCTAGGGGTGTTTTAGGCTATGGGTGTTTTAGCATGGAAACTTGGGTCAAAGAGCTTAGATGGGTTTGACTCTAGTTAGTAGTGGGGAGCCCATAACTTTTTGCAAATTGTTTGCTCCAAGCAATTTTCCCTTATTTTGATAAAAGACACATACGAGAACAAGTCAGGTGGATACATGATACACAATATGCGACTTGTGTATGGCACGTGTATATTTAACATAGATAAAGTTGAAGAGAAAGAAATTAATCTTCTCTTTTCTTCAAACAAGAGCAACTTGAATATTTTGTTGTTTGCGCTTTTGCCTCCTAAAAAGTCAAAAGTGTGCTAAATATAATTTTGGAGCATTTGCAAGCAGGAAAAAGAAACTATGAGATATTTTAGCCCAATTTGTATATAAATGAAATGTTAGAACGTTTTATTTCAATCTCTTCTAAAAAAAACTATTGTGAGAATGTGTTTGACAACTCACTAAAGTTGGATCACACTTGCTTCTGTTTGGGTCAGAAATTATTTTATTCATTGTATAACACATTACAACTTTGATCGTTATAACAAGTTCAAAAAGATTGGTCTTTTTATAAGACATTTACACAATAAAAATAAAAATTACAATCTCCTTCAAACAACACACAGATCCTATTTATTTGTCTCTGTTTGCGTTGGATCTTCGCCTGTGCCGGGATTTATCCGTGGACCATCTCGGATCAGATCCGGTTGTTCGGAATTAAAATTCAATGCTATTGCTTCACAAAGGAAACAATCGCAGAAGTGATAATATCGACCAAGCAAGATTACGACTCTTCTCGAGATCAAAACAAAGTTTGATCTTAAGGAATGGGGGGGGGGGACGGGCCTCAGATCCTTCGAAACGCTCCTTCTTTATGCCGGAGTTCGCCAAAATCTGCTAGCCTCTCTCAAATTCGTCAGAACCTCGCCTTAGCTCCTCTGAAATTCGTGCCTCCCTTCAGATCTGCCTTTATGAATGTGTTAGGGGTGTATTTATAGGCTTTAAATGTTGTGTTTGTGGATAGGGTCGAAGAACAATCGTTATTATCCGTTTAGGTGGATTTTCGGTTGTGTAACAGCTTTCACACATTTAAGGATAACCTCACATATTTATAGATGACTCCAAGGAGTTCTAGAAGCCAATCTTATCAGAAAACATGTTGGGAGCTGACCTGGTCGCGAGTCACTTCGACTGTCTCACATATGTCCGAGACAACTTGAACTGTCTCGGATATTTTGATCGTAACTCTTTCGTCTGATCTCGGAATGAGATGATTCAAGATACGTTGGAAAGCTGACAAAGATACCTACAACTTTTATCTTTTGAGATTCTTCAGATTCGAATCATATCATGGCTAAAATATGTGAGACGCAATTGGTGTCTCGCAGGTGCGAAATAGTCTAGACCGTCTCGGGTATTTTGGTTCTAACTCCATTGTCCGACCTCGGAATGAAGTGATCCAAGACGCGTTAGAAAGCTCGCGAAGATCTCTACAACCTCCCATGGGCGAGAAAACCATGGGATGAGCAAGAAACGAGTGGTGTTTACTCCTTTGTGGGTGAAGCGTAACCCCAGGTCGAGTCGCTTCTTCGTTATTGTACCATCCCGTTGATTTGTATGCTTTATCAACTTGCTTCGTGCATTTATTAGCTTCTCTATGACATCAAATAATCCTCTTTAATTCAGATAATGACGTTCATCGTCTTCTTTTCGTCTCGAGCTGCGTGCGGGAACCCATAGACAATTTTTGAGGCCTATAGCTCCTTAAACTCGTTTTGATAAGAACTAGTTAAGTTAATTGTGGGCCAACTCTCTCTAATCCACAAGCAAACCAGTTTAGAGGGTAAAAATGAATTAAAACCCGAATCAGTGCATACCAATCAACAAAATAGTCTAAAACGGGATCATATTTAAATGTAACTCAGTTTTGGAGAGCTGCCGATCAAAGCAAATAACTTGCGTAACTTGCATAGTCAAGGAATCATGACTGTATTTGACAAGCACAAGAGCCAGAACCCACTTATATTTTCTCTCCGCACCTGAGCTCTCCTCATCCCAGAACATAATAACGCCACAGAAAGGACTTAAACTCCCAGCTCCTTCTCACTCCAAAGCTTAACCCATGCCAGAGCCAGCAATAATCCTCTCAAAACCCACCTCCACTTCTTCATCATCCTCCCTCTAGAAACCAAGAAGAAGAAGAAGAAAACTATGGATGAACTCTGGAAAGATATCACACTCACAAATTCCCTTCACAATGAGATCCCACCAACTCCACCTCTCTCACTTCAGCACCTAACAAGAGCCAGCCAGCATTCTTCAGCAGCAACCAGCAGCTCTTTCAATGGCATTATCCTCCAAGATTTCCTTAATGGGCCCTTGATCAAGGACGGGCCACCACCACCACCACCTCCTCCTCCTCCTCCCCCCATTGACCTCAACCTGGACTCCGCCTGCAGTTTGGGCCCTACCCCTCATTTGGGCTTCAGCCCAAATATGAAAAGATCAGCTCTTGACCAGCATCAGATGATGATGAATGGCGGTGATGGGTTTTGCATTGGCTACGATGGGAGCGGCGACGATCGGCGACAGAAGAGGATGATCAAGAACAGAGAGTCTGCTGCAAGATCCAGAGCCAGGAAACAGGCAGGCATAAATTTTGATCAGTTTTTAATCATTTTAATTTTTTTATTTTTATTTTTATTTGGTATGTTTTACTTGAGGAAAGATGTGCCCCTCCAGAAAACTTGACAGCAAAGATAAATAATAATATTAAGCTACCATTCCCCTGAAGATGAAACAGTTAGTTTAGTTTTACGTTGTAGTATTTATTTTCATTTTCATTTTCTTGTGCAGGCTTATACAAATGAATTGGAGCTGGAAGTTGCCCATCTTGTGCAGGAGAATGCCAAGCTCAGGAGACAGTGCGAGGAGGTGCATTTTCCCCCAAAATAATTAGTCCAAATTTTTTGAATGTTTATTTTCTAATTTTGTTTTACTGTTTTTGGTTGTTGTGGACAGCTAAGTTCGGCAATGGCTGCTCAGATTCCTGCCAAAAAAACACTGCAGAGAACCTCATCATCACCATTTTGAGCAACAACTTTTATTATTTTTTTTTATGCAGAAGAAAATTCCATCACCTTCTTTTTCCCTCTCTCTCTCTTTTTCTACTCTAAAAAGAGGGTGAGAATTTGTTCTTGGCCATATGTTTGTGCAAATATAGAAAGCATGCCATGAAAAGGGAAATGCCAACTCGAGCTACTACATATAACAAACATGCCCACATGTAATGCTTTTATGAAGGCTAGTTTCCTTTTTTTTTAATTTTTTTTTCTCCACCATGCGTTTTTGGCTGTTTTTTTAACCTCTCACAAGACTTGTTTATTTTTGGGGGAGCAGCAGAAAATTAATGTGTTTGCTATTTTGAGGTATTGGTGGGAAGCAAACATAGGCATTGCTATGTGGGAGGGGGAGAGAGGATAGTGTTCAGTATTTACTGGAAAAAGTAATGATTGCTCTGCAAGCATGTAGCTGGCTCGCAATATAAGACACCCTTCTATGCCAATTTGAGGGTTTTTTGTTTTTGCAAGAGCAGACCGCTGGCTATTTCTGTCTTAAATTGATCATGATAATCCAATAATTTCTATGAGATTATAAAAATATGCCAGAATATGATTTATTTTAAATCTTTCATGAGTTGTTTTCATTACTACATATTTTTCATTCAATACGGATCATAATCATTATTTACCAAACAAGGCACGTGATTATGGAAGTGTTCTTTCACAGACCGCTTCTAGAGAAGAGGATCCAAATCCCTTTAGAGTTGATATAAAAGTGAGTTTCAAGTAGATATCGTAAGTATTATGCTGAAGAAGAAGAAAAAAAATCCATGAGTAAAATTTTTGACCAGTTAAGCATCAAGGTCAATGTATAAAGAGTGTGATCAGTTACATTTTACGCACAGATATTTATTTTAAAATTTTGCAACTCCTAATTTCATAGGATTCTTTCTCATAATGCCTTTGACAGATCCAAATCTTCATAGAATTCATTTCTTATGATGCATTTGGCTAGAATTGTCCAAACTCTAATCCTCTTTCAATTGGAACTCAATTCCAACTATGATTTATCGTTGTGAGGCAAGCCAAGCTTTCAATTAAAAGAAAATTAGGATTTGATTTGAATTATTCCAAATGCAGACAATAATCAACTGGTGTAATGATCCTATAGGGGGGGCCTCTAACTTTAAATTGTTCCAACAACGAACTCTTTAATGTTAAATAACCTTGTTCATAGATCTTTAATGTTAACTAGTTTTGGTTTGCGACGATAATTCTCAAAATTGAGGGCAGTCACAAAGAAGCATGTATATTAGGCGTAGTCAAGTGATCGTGGGCCTTCAAGCAATCTGACATCCCTCTCACAACCAACCCCACGCTTTAAACCTTGTCTAACCTCGGACTTTCAAAGCAAGAGTCTTGATTCCAAGGAGTTTGGTAGGCTACTACTGCTTACTGCATGCTTTGCCAAGAAGAAAAAGCTTCGGAACGCTAAGCGCCTAAGCCCCCTTCCTCTTCTTTGTTCTTGGCGCACAACATCCGAAGAACATGAAGTAAGACCTCCAATCGTCAGTACCCAGCTTAAAGGCATTTTCTGCCGATAAAACTAAGTTGTGTTAGGAATGTCTCTCATCTATTCAATATATGTGGATTTAATCTAGCAAATTTATCTGATGAGATTAAATTCAGTGCTGGAAAAAAAAATAGTTAGATGGATGTTCAGTATGTATGTGCTGATGGCTGATATCAAACAGTCAAATGAAAGAAGTGATTAAGTTGACGAATTAGGTCCTCTAACCCTCCGAATGTCCGGTTCTGGAGGCTGTTCTTCCCTGCATGCACAAAGTAGTTAGATTAATGTTCAGCATGTATGAATTCACGACTTAAAGTGATTAATCATTTTGATCGAGTTGAACTGGGTTGAAGCAATTAATTAGCTTAGTTTATCTTCTATTCCTAAGTTTTTTCCAACATGTCAATCCGTATTAGAACCCATGCTTCATTCAGACTTCGAATGTTTTGTTTGTTTCAAGGATTTATTAGCAAGAGTTAGGGTGGAAGGTAGCGTGGACGAAGCATTAATGCAAAATGACTTTGGGCAAGTTGGTCCTACCCGGTTAATTTAGAATTTTCTTTGGATTCATAAGATGCCAAACCTACGTCCCTGTGACACTATTCATCTACGAAGCGTTAAATCGAGACAACATTTTCGTTCCTTGTGTGTATATTGAGCTTGAGTTAGAATTATTCGAACAAAGATGAAGATTGCTCGGAGCATTTCATATCCACTCAACGTGTGTGTTTCGCCTAAACAAATCACGGGATGACATATGAGATTTAGTCCATATATTAGAAATACAACTGGCCATAGATACACAATTAAATACGTTTAACTTATGACTTAAATAAAGTTAATCCATTTAAGTCAATCTAGTCTAATTTAGATTGACCTAGTCCATCTCCGTTTGTCGGTCTTTGCAACTAAATATAACACAATAAGAAAATGTGAAACGAAGGTTTTTGCATCCAAGTAAGATAAGCTTCTCTTGAGATACTTGATAGCCAGACATTATTAAGCCTCTTCTTGAGCCTTTCATCTTTCATACCCGCATTAGCAATGGATTTTTAAAATTAATAACTTAATTGATAACGATAAACTATTCAGATAATATCTGATTAAGACAATTTGCATCCATTGTTAGAAAATTCTAAGAAAACTAGAGAGAATCATCCGCAGGTATATAAATTACACAATGAGAATATTTGCTTCCAATTTAGACATGAGTAAAATATAAATACGGCAAAGAAGGATCTCTCCATCAGAATCACCTGTGACAGTCGACTTCATAGCAGGCAGTGTGCATGAAAACTATACAGTCGACGGTCCGAAGTCCATTAGTCAACTGTCAACAACTGTGCCAACGGTCTGAGCTCCCGTTAGTCGATGTCTACACCCACTCCTTGTGATCCACTATTTTCCACCCGAATTCAACTGTCAATGTAATGTACATATATACACCCGAATGTAATTGTCAGTATCATGAATCTTCCTCGTGTATAGAGGGAAGTTCACACCCGACGCACTAGGCATTTAAAATTACAAGCCTCTAGTGACTTTTGACACAATTTTTTAAGTGAGTTTCTAGTGACTTTTGACACGATTGTTTTTAGTGAGTCCCCACCCCCCAGGATAACAGGTACCTTTGAGAGTTAATTGTGTCTTAAACAAAGATTGAGAATTAGAGTAAGCTCAAATTAAACTTATTACGTATTGACTTCAATTTTTTATTTAAACTTGCAACTCTTTAACTCCTACTTAATTTTGCCAGTATGGGATTGTACTGATACGGGTGTATCTTCTCTGCTTCGAAAACTTAACGATCCTCATGAGAGATTGAGGATAGATGATTCTCATGATAGCTTGAGAACAGAAGCGTGGGCGGAGTCGTTGATAACAACAAATACGGTGAAAATCAGGAAAATGACGAAAATCAGGAAGCTGGCGAAGCAACTCTTGTCAGACGACTGATGGGCTAGAATCAGTCGACCGATAAAGCACTATCGGTCGACCGATTAGTCATCATCAGGCGACCGATAAACGGATACACTACAGGGTCAGAAAAACAGGTTCTGGACAGTCGACTGATGGACTAGCATCAGTCAACTAATGAAGCTGAAGAGAATACATGAATTACAGCAGAAAACAATTTGATCACCTAGTGGTCGACCACGAACGTGCACAAGATAGGGAAAGTCTCTGGACTTTTCGCGGTCGACCGCGAGTGGCGTGACGATCGACCGGCCAAACCCTGTAGTGAAAATTGGTTTCTGTCATTGTGGTCCGGTCGACCGCGATGGTTTCTGCGGTCGACCGCGAGTTGGGCTGGACTTGAATTTGGTTTCCTGTTCGTATTGGGTTTGTGTTTTGATATATATTGAAACACGATTTTCTAGGGTTTCTGAGGAGAGAGAATCAGATATTTTAGATTGTACTGAGCACTTTGAGAGGGAGAACTTGTGAGCAAGTTGAGAGACTTGGTTTAGGATTTGTATGAGTGATTTTGTGAGATTGTAACCCTTTGTACTCTCCTTGATTTAGTAGAATATCTCCATCCTCTCCCCGTGGACGTAGGAAAATTGCCGAACCACGTATATCTCTGTGTTTGGTTTGATTTGTCGTATTTGAATTGAATTGTGCTCGTGTTTATTTTGGTTATCTTCTCTCGTGACTCGCGAAACCATTTGGTGTGCGAGCATGCTTCCGCAAAGGTGCGCAACAATTGGTATCAAAGCTCAGATTTCAGATCTAGAGTTTTGGTATTAGGTGGAGGAAGATTCATCGTGGAAGCTTAGTTCTTGGAGTTCTAGGCTTCGATGGAGATAGTGTTTGAGGTTGTCGTTGAAGATTTCGCTTTCCTCGTGTGGTTAGGAAATCTTTTTGCAATCTGTTCTAGGGTTCAGTTGGGTAACTTCTAAATTCTATCAAGTTTAAATTTTCCTCTACAATTTGGAGTTTGTGAGTATGGGTGAATAAGTTGGTGAAAGCAGCATGATGCCGGGTATAGTTCAAGTTAATTTTCAGAACACTAAAATTAGTGTGGTTAAATATGACGACAAAATCAATTTTGGTTTGTGGATGAGCGACGTACAAGATGCGCTCAATGCTTATAATTTAGAGGAGACCATCATGGTCCATGAGAGGCCACCAAAATATGAAGATACGATATAGAAAAAGATGAATAGAAACGCTTGTGGGGTGATCAGATCCTATTTGGAATAGGAGCTAAAATATGATGTGATTGGGGTAACGTTTGTAATAAAGATCTAGAAAATTCTCAATAACAAGTACCTTACAAAGAGTGTTGAGAACAGATTGCACTTGCTGCATAGGTTATTCAGATTTCAGATGTCCAGGGGCACCTCACTAGTAGTTCATGTGAACAACTAAACTAAGTTGTTGTCGGACTTGTCGAATATTGATGAGAAGATATCGGATGAGTACAATACGATTATTTAATTTGTTAGGCTCCTTACCGGATGTATGATATATTTAAGCTTACTTTGTTGAATGAGAGATTTTCTATCAGCTATAGTAAAGTAACTAATGCTTTGACGAAATATGATTTGAGGAGGAAGGACAAAGAGACTTCCCGCGCTAGTACTTCAGGAGAGGCCTTGTCGACGAGAGGTAGAAGCCCATATCCGAGAGGTGGCAATAGAGGTAAGTCATAGTCGAGAGGCCATCACCAGTTAGCAAAGAAC